CGCCCCTGTGATTCTGTCTGCCAATCGGTGACCTACGCTAGCCCTAGGACTATTCTTGTATTTTGCCCGCCATATACCTGTTTGCCATTGTTTGACCCTGCCGGTTTACCACATCTCTCTAATAAAAGCTTGCGGATGGATCCACACGTCTCACGTCTCGTCAGCCCCGTTACAGAGTGTGTGTGTATGTGTATCTAAATACCACTTCAGATTCAGCTTCCTCCCAAAAAAAGGTTGTTGTGGCCTAAAAGTTTATAATTCCTTTAAATAAATAAAATGTTTAAAGTTTAATAAATTCAATGTTGCATCAAATAAATGATTTGTCATGTAACACAATGACTTTAAATGATCTTTTGGGGGTAATTTCTCAGCCAAATTTGATGTGTGATTATTTAATTAATCATTTATAATGTGTATTATATATGTATTTACAGTTAAACCCTATTGTTATTTTTTTATATATGATATATATTATATAGATTATTATATTGTTGGTCTAAAGTCAAATTATCCTTAATGCCTTTAAATGGCCTCTCAGTTAGTTTTTCCAGAAGTTCATCTACTAATACACTATATCCACTACTGATCCTACTTCCAGGAGCTGCTAAACATCTTGAGGGTAAAAGTCTCAGTCATATGGCTACACCACAGCGTAATAGTGAAGGTTTGACAGAGGAGCTGTTATGAGCTCAAAGCTCAATGAGGAGTTTAAGAGCTTTAGCCTTTAGCGTTCCTCTAGTCCGCTGTGAGGAGTAACTTTTATTGTTACTCCAATAAAACACTCAATTGAGCCCTGAAACGGACTTTTCCACTCACAACAGCTGAGACCATGAGTGACTTGAAGCTTTATTGCTCATGGAGACCAAGTGTTTTATTCGCCTACAAAGAGCCGTTCTCGTGTTTAACACAGTGGGAAATTATTCCACGAATAATAAGTAACACCAGCATCTGATAAGCAATAATGTACGAAAATGCACCGGGTAGGATATAACATGCTTATTGCTTTCATTTTACTTTTATTAAGCATTACTAAACATGAATGTTTATTGTAAACATTTATTTTTTCACTGTATTTCATTGCATGTATTGCATATAAAATACGTGCATGTTTTTCTCTTGTTTCTGAAGCGGCCTTTGGGTTTCTGTGTTTTTCCTTTTTTTTTTTTTCTCACTGACGCAAACATCTCCAACCACAGACAGATAAAGCACATGTAGCCGCTGAACAACAGGAAATGTTGCACTATCCAAACGTGAGCTCGTTCAGGCGCAAGCCTAAACAATAATGCAGCACTCACAGTCATTGTTGTTGATGTACCTGTATCACTTTCTTCACACACTCACCTTTTCCTCCACTGATTGGTTTGAGATACAGCGCCAGCTCCTCCACACAGATCCTGCACACTTCATAATGTCTTGTGTCTTCAACACTGCCCACACTCACAATCTCTCCCTCCGGAACCTGCAGAAAAACAACCATTGGCAGATATGAAGCACCACCAGAAGAGTTCTGTTTATGACATTGTGACGTCAATGTTAAACAGCATAATGATTACTGGTGAAACTTACAGTATCTGTTTGGAGTAAAGCAAAGTGAAAATATTTTTGTTATGATAAAGGCTTTCTCACAGTTTTGACTTTTTTAATGCAATTCTAAGTTTATATCTCACAATTCTGGTTATGTCTTGCAGTTATCAGAAGAAATTCAGAATTGAGGTATAAACTCACAGTTACCATTTTTTTGTGGCGGACACAAACAAAAAAAAGATATAAACTCAGAATTGCAAACTAAACTAAATAAATGCTAAACAAAAAAGTTAGAATAGCAAGATTCTGCATAAACTCAGAATTGTGAGATATAAATTCAGAATTGCAAAATATAAACTCAGAAGTGCAAGATATAAACTCAGAATTACAAAATATAAACTCAGAATTGCGAGATATAAACTCAGAATTGCAAAATATAAACTAAATATTGTGCGATATATATTCAGAATGGCAAGATATAAACTCAGAATTCAGAGAAAAAAGTCAGAATTGAGAGATTCAAAATTGAAAGACATAAATTCAGAAATGCAAGATAAACTCAAATTTGTGAGATGTAAAAAGGAGATTGCAGAATTCTGAGTTTATATTTTGCAATTCTGTCTTTTTTATGTTAGTGTACTTTTCATTTCAATTAATTTCTTGTAAAACTGTATGCACGGTTAAGACATTAACAATAAAAAAAAATGAGTTTTGAGCTGCACAGCCCAGAAAGACAGCAACACTGGATATCCTGAGCTATTCGAAACCTCAAAAGCTATCACATCAATCATATCAGCATGCCCCACTCACCGGCGCCCCCACCAGCTGCAGGAGGGCACAGTTGACAGGCAGCACATCAATGTCAGTGCTAATGGCCGTCTGGTCAAAAGGACAGGCCTTGCGGTGCAGTTTGTGCAGGCAGGTCTTGCAGACGGTGTGCGAGCAGCCCAGGCTGATGGGCTTGTGGCTGCAGGCATCAAACTCATTGTAGCAGATAGGGCAGGATAGAAACTCAGTCCATTGAGCTGCCTGCACCGGCATCCTGTGACCTCCAGGTGGAACAATCACGCTCAGGTAGATCGCATGACGCCTTGCCCCGGCGCCTTAAACACACCTGAGGAGAGAAGAAGACATTGAGTCTCAAATTCAAATTTATGTGTGAAATCTGCGTAAAGATTTTCATGAAAAAAAATCCTGATTCGTTTGTATTAAAAGGGTTTATTGTGATTGAACATGAGCACATGTACTTGGCCTTGCTCAAGAATCTTGCTGTGTTCTCAGGCAAGAGCTCTTCTTTAGAGTTTCATACATTTGCCAAGATTGGCGAAAGGTTGTGAGGAAATTTGGGCAGGTTTTTTATGCAAATGACTAACCTTAGGCACACAGATGTTTATTTAAAAAACTCGAAATTCTTCAACATTAGAACGAGGTTAACAACAACTTCATGTGCGGAGGCATGTGTTAGGCAGAGTCATTTGCTTGATTCATTAAAAGAACCAATTCATTTGACTTATAAGAGTCGCTTGTTTGTGAATCAGACTACATAGGCGATGCTGTTTGTATTTGTGTGTAACAAATTTTTTAACTTGTGCCAGTTGCTCAATTCATTAAAAAAAAACAGTTCATCTTTTTTTTGTGTGTGCCAGTTGCATGAATCATTAAAACAACCAATTCATTTAACTTATAAGAGTAATTTGTTCATGAATCAGACTACATAGGTGGTGCTGTTTGTTTTTGCGTGTAACATGTTTTACTGTTTGTTTGTTTTTACTTGTGCCAGTTACTTGATTCATTAAAAGAACCAATTCATTTAACTTATAAGTCATTTGTTTGTGAATCGGGCAACATAGGTAGCACTGTTTGCTTTTGTTTGTAAAGTTTTTTGTCTTATGCTTGTTGCTTGATTCGTTAAAAGAACCTATTCATATTTTACTTGTGCCAGTTACTCGATTCATTAAAAGAATCAATTCATTTTCCCTACAAGAGTCTTTTCTTCGTGAATTGGACTACATAGGTAGCGCTCTTTGTTTTTGTGTATAAAGTGTTTTATTTTTACTTGTGCCAGTTACTTCGTTTATTAAAAGAACAAATTAATTTGACTAATAAGAATGATTTCTTTGTGAACTGGACTACATAGTCCATGCTGTTTGTTTTTGCGTATAACATTTTTTTTATTTTTTTTATTTTTTTACTTGTACCAGTTGCTTGATTCATTAAGAGAACCAATTAATTTCATTTTTACTTGTGCCAGTTGCTGGATTCATTAAAATAACCAATTAATTTGACTGATGAGAGTCATTTCTTCATGAATCAGACTACAAAGGTGGTGCTGTTTGTTTTTGCGTATAACGTGTTTTTTTACTAACGCCAGATGCTCGAATTATTAAGAGAACCATTTCATTTTTACTTGTGCCAGTTGCTGGATTCATTAAAAGAACCAATGAATTAGTCATTTGTTTGTGAATTAGACTACATAGGTGGCGCTGTTTGTTTTTGCGTGTAACACACTTTTTTTTTTACTTGTGCCATTAAGCAACACCTCAGAATATCCTAGCAACCACCCAGAATCCCTTAGCAACCACCTAGCAACATTCAGACACCATGGCACTCGTATTTTCTTTAGATATATTCTTTCTCTCTCTCTTTCTCTCCCTCTGTTGTAATTTCTTGTCGCCATCACCTCTCAGCTCTAGGAATAAACTGTCTTGCACTCAGACTCATTCATGTTCTTCACATCTCCATTCACTCAACCCCTCCCTCATGCTTTCTCTACATCCCTTTATTTGTTTCTGAATTTGTGCTCTTCAGGGACTTCCTGTAGGACAGAAGGTGGAGCAGATAAGCGTGAAACAGCCATCAACACATTAAACAAAATTCCACAAAGATCACTTCAAGCTCATAAACAGGAAATCACTTCACTGTCTTGTGACCATGTGACTAGGCCACTGCAGAAATAGAAACTCTGAAGTTAAACAGGAAAATGTTTGCAGCTATTAACATTATTATGAACGATTTTACAGTATGAAAAAATGTTCAGGAGAAGTAAGACTACACACTGCTGAACTTGTGAAATATTTCACTGGAGTGTAGGCCTATATATCACATGAGTATACAAAGGCATAAATATTTAGAGTTATTTCAACCCTCTCACATCTCAACCAACATCACCATAATAAACAGACAACAACTCAGCCCAGGAAAAAAACATAAAAAGTGATCACTTTTAACAACACAATTTGCACCTGGCGCCACGGTGTATTAGTCCCTTGATGGATGGTCCCTTGAGTTTCATGGAAAGCACTTGCTCCAATATATTGACAGGCCAAGAACCTGAGTATAGCTTTAGGTCACTGTGACCCCAAAGTTGGAACATCCTGTCCTTGTCATTACCTCCTCTGTCTTCTTCTTACGTCTACACACGAACACTATTTTGTACGTAAAAACATAAAAACTGTATATGGAGTATAAAATGCCCACCAAAGTGTCAATTTATCAACTTCTGTTAACTTCTCAACCACTGTTATTATTGTAGAAATCACCTGCAGTCATGCTGAGGTCTGAATATCAGCAAGAACATCTAAAAAAAAAAAACGTGTGCTAAGAACGTTCCCATTAAGTTACGAAAAAGTTATTGGATGTTCTCTGAAAGGCATTTTGCAGATATTATGGGAACATTATTTTAAAAGTTCTCTAAACGTTCTGAAACAAGTAGTAACTAAACAAGTACAACTTGTTTCAACGTTTCAGGAGAAAAAAAATCTGTTAACATTACTAGAAGAACGTCTGTTTATAACTTTTAGAGAATCTTGCCAGTAATTCCCGTTTTTTTCGTAATGATGCTGCTTGGCTGTTGAAAAAGCCAGCATATGCTGGTTAGGTATGTTTTGACGCTGGGATGCTGGTTTAAGCTGGTCCTTTGCTGGTTTATGCTGGT